CGGCATCACCGGCGGGGGCCGTTTGGCAGCTGCCCAACTCCGGCTGCTCCCGTGGGGCTGCTCCGTGCCGGCGGTGCGGGCTCTGCTGTGGCCTGGCTCGTCCGAGGCACGGAGAGTTTCCCTGCTGGGCGGCCCGGCTCTGGCCTTTGTGTATCACATAGGGCTTCTCCTCCTTCCCTTTGTCTGCCGTGCTCCCTCCCTGCGCCTGGATGCTTCCTGTAGCGAATCAGTGTTTTAAGGTCCCTTTAAGAACCACTAGCAAAAGTACTGGTAAAAGCAGGAGCGTGACAAAATTCGTTGATAAGGTTTGCTCTGCTACTTAAAAAGCGCATAGAGGAAAAGCAAATAAAAGTCTAAAATTAATTAATCTACAACCAAAATAAATCCAAAACATTATCCACAGAGTGTGTGGAGAGGGAAGAGCAGGGAAGAAAAGGATGTGGATAGGAAAGGGTGGGATAAGAAAAGGTAAAGAAGACCCTCCCGCTGAGGCACAAGGTTCAGAGTAGATCTTCTTTAAGAGACCTTAAAACACTCATCTGCTGTGCCTCCGGGTGCCAGCCACCTCCTCTGCCCTCTGGGGAGCTGTTTTACTGCTGGCCTTGACTGCAGAGGGAAAGAGTAGATAGTGAAAAGCCCCTCAGGGCAGCAGATGCTGCCTGTTCCTACTTCCCTTTTGCCTCATTACAGTGCAGTACCATCCATAGCTGGTGCTTGCCCTCATCCCCCTCAGGAAGTTGCAAAGATTGGCTATGGATTCTCCAAGAAGGAGAAAAGGTGTTTCAAGATTTTTCCTGGTCTAATACTGTTGGTAGGTTTTGCTTTCCTTGTGTGCAAAAGAAAGTCTGCCTGGCGCAGTTCTGTCCTGGAGCTTGCAGGATTTGTCTGGCTCTAAGGGTTCCCCAGAATTTTGGGTCTTAGAGGGAGAAGGAGAAACAGTAATGAAATAGGAAATTAGGAAAAAAATACATCTTTCCATTTAAACTAAAACAAAAGGAACAACTGTAGAGCTTATGAAAAGCAGTTTATTCTGACTAACACAGATATTGGACATCATAAACTTAATTGCGTGGAAAATCTATTTAGTGTTCTCTAGGGATCACAAGTGCATGGCTGTGCTTTTAAGGGGTTGATGTATTTAAGCTTACAGGAACTGAAACTAGTGGGTCTAGAAAAATAGATGGAAGCTTTAGATAACATAATTATAACAACATTATTGCTACACTGCTTGTCAGTCCACCATCCCACATAAAAACAAATGAGCTCTGTTCATTCTCCTTCTCTTTTTGAGGTTCAGTATAGAAGTTAGCATTACTAATTCTAACTAATTGTAATTGCACTCACAGTTGTAGAGGCACAAGAAATTTGGCAGGATCACTAATATAGTTAGAGATTTTAGGGAAAAAATTACAAATTGAGTAGGTGAGTATCCTGGTTCTGGCCAGAACAGAGTTAATTTTTGCAGTAGACCCAAGGGAGCATAGCTAGGCCCCAGAGATTATTCTGTACCACCTCACATCAGTTTTCAGGGAGGGAGAAAGAACTTGATTTGGGTTTGAGCTGGTGTGACCCAGGAAGCAGCTGGATATTGCTGGGGGTGGGGGGGGTTCTGTGGGATGAGCAATAACTTCTCTTTTCTTGTACCCTCTGTCTCTAATGTTAGTTATTATTTTTTTTTATCTCATTGCTGTTTCCAGTTCCTATCTCAACCTGTGATCTTTACCTTTTGTACTTCCAATTCCCCTTTCCATCTTGGAGCAGGGGGACTTAGAGGAGGAGGGAGGGAGGGAGTGGGTGACAAATGGTTTGGAGTGGTTTCAGTGGGAGCACTAAATTGGAAAATACCATCCCTAAACCATGGCAGTGAGAAAAAAGAGGATAGGAGGAAATATGAACAGCTAAAAAAGTATTTGAGCCCTAGGGTACAGGGACTGATAACACTACAATGGCTTATGTATGAACGATTAAGTTCAATGGAAGTGGTTGGAGAGGAGAGAAATCCCACAGCTGGGGAAGAATCTCTTTGGACGTGACTATAAAATGGGATAAACAGGAGGGAAATTTTTGCAGACATAGAGAAGGAAAGCTGTTGGTGCCTGCCAAAGGTTTAGAAGTCTCTGTCCATTACTCCTGCATCCCTTCTGGGACTGCCTCTGCCATGTGGCTTCAGGTCTCATTGAGCCACTTGCAGTTCCTGATCTCCCCTGTATTCTCCTATGTGGTGTCTTGGTGGTGAGCTGCTTGGTGACAGCATTGCTGTCAGTGCAGTGTGGGCTCTGCTTGCATCTGTTGTGGGGAGCACATGGAAAGTTTCAGTTGGGGTTAAAAAAGAAAGAAATACAGTCCTGTTCCCAGCTGGGATCACCGTGCAGAGCGGGATGCAGAGCTGGTTGCATGCTGGTTGGGCTGGCTCAGGAGCAACGGGGCTGTGCTTGGCTTCAATAACAACCACTAAAGCAGTGTTTGAAAAGGTTCTGACCTGGCTTTTAGAAGTGTTCACACAGGAGGTTTTAGTGATAATTTTTGTCTTCCTCAAAATTTTGTATTTGAGTCACCAGACTATCTCCTTAGGAAGCCTGCAGAGCATTTGTTTGCACCAAATGTTGCTTATGCCAGCAGAGACCGGAGACAAAGTTTCAGTGAAAGACTCCTGCCTTGCCTTTTCCACAGAAATTATGATACAGTCCCTCTTTTCTCTCTTCCTCATTTTTTTTTGTATTGAGAACTTGTTGGTCTTGATATTGTTCTTTCCCCGATGTCTCAAGAGAGGCAAAAGCAAAATCTGGATTTCTTCCAAGCAGCAGAAAATGTGTTTTGGCTAGGAATACAGATCTACCCTTCTCTGGGCTTATTTTGAACAGGAATCAAATCATCCTGGGATCTTGCACAAAGTCATTGTTGAAAAATTCCCTTTTAGCTCCATGCATGTGGACAATGTACCTGGTATTGATTCGAGCCATTGGGAACAGCAGCTGTTCCTGGCTGTGGCCAGTGTCATGCTGATGGTGAAGTAGTGAAAATTTTTCTAGTATTTCTATGAAGATTTTTCTCATGTGCACTGAGTGAATCTCATTGGCAGTTTCCAATGTCATGAGTGTTTGTGGAGAGAAAAAGGTAACCTCTGCCTTACTCTGAACCTGTGGAATCTTGTACTTGAAGCATGAAATAAATGCATGCTAAATGCGAGTGGAGCAAATGAAAGCTGGCTGAAGTATGTGTCGCTCCCCAGGAGCTCTGCTGGCACAGAGCTTGGCTCTCACTGCTGAATGAAGTTACAAAGGTAGTGCTTGACAAAAGGATTAAAAGAGACTGTCTTAACAAGTCAGTCCAGGAAATAAAGCCTTAGAATTTCAAATAGGTGAAATACTAAAACTGATCTAAGGAAGGGATGGATCCATAGCCAGAAGATCTTAATAGTGCTTTAGGTCCCGCACTCTCAGTCGGGAGTTTCTTTTTCTGTCAGATTGTAGGAACGGTTTGGGTGAGAACTGGATAAAATATTTGGACTGAAGCTTTCCTGTCTCCCTCCCAGCCTGTGCCAACAGCACTGGCTCAGGTTGACCGTGAAAAGATCTACCAATGGATCAATGAGCTGTCCAGCCCCGAGACACGGGAGAATGCACTGCTGGAGCTAAGCAAGAAGCGCGAGTCTGTGCCTGACCTCGCTCCAATGCTGTGGCACTCATTTGGCACAATTGCAGCACTCCTTCAGGTGGGTCAGGCTGTCTGTGTCTTTATTCCATGGTGCAGCATCAGCATGTTGCAGAGCTTGTGCATCCATGAGGTGGATCTGGGGAGGAACTGGTGGGATCCCTTATTGCCATTGCTTGGGAATATGATCTTTGTTGGATCATGTGGTGAGGGGAGCAGATTAAGGTTAGAATGCACTCCTGTGACTCCATGTCAAATTGACTCTGACCCAGCTCTGCCCTTGCCTGGGCAGCAAGGCGGCTGCCGTGTAACTTGAAAGTGATGGCGTGGTGGGAGCAGACCGTTTTCTGCTGTCACTGCACTTCCTTACCAGGCAAGTGCTTTGGTGTAGTTTTCTGATATTTGTCTCCTTTAACTTTCTGCTTTCTGTTAATTTTTAGGAAATTGTAAATATTTACCCATCAATCAACCCTCCGACTTTGACAGCCCATCAGTCCAACAGAGTCTGCAATGCTTTAGCTCTACTACAGTGTGTTGCATCACACCCTGAAACGAGGTAAGTGCTTCCAAATTGTGTGAGTTTTCTGAGGTGTTGATATTGACACCTCAGCACATATCTTTGACTTTAGAAGCACTTTAGCTCCTTTCTCTTTTTTCACTTGAGAGAAGTGAAACAGACAGCAGAGCTGATAGATAGGCAGCTACCTGCTGCTTTTTATTTGCTTGCATGGATTATCAGGATGACAGCTTTATGGTCCTAAATGCATTGCATTCCCTCGGTCATCCCGAGATCTTTCAAACGCTCAGAACATTGGGTTGTGGCAGCTTCTGAGAGGTCAGCCAGAGCTGAGGCTACGTTTCTGTTGAGTGCTGTGTGCAAGGATCCTTGAGCTTATAATTATTTAGACAAGGTGCTTGGTTAGAGCACGGTGTTAATAATGCCAAGGTTGTGGCTTCTATCCCCATATGGGCCATTCACTTAAGAGCTGGACTCCATGATCCTTGTGGGTCTCTTCCAACTCAGAATATTCTGTGAAATCAAAGAAACTCCTTAAATTTCAGCTTACAGATTTTTAAACCAGGTGTTGAAAGGGTGGAATGAACAGGACTGTTCTTGCCAGGCAAGTGTGAGGCAAGGGAGCCATAACAGAACCATTTTTGGAGTCCTCAGCCAGAGTCTGACTTCATATTTTCTCAATCTGTGCCCAGTCCATGTCAGTAGGGAAAAACAAGATGTTGGTTCAGCCAAAATCAGTAGTTAAAACTCAGGAGGAAACTACCCAGAGATCCACAATCTCATGCTTCTGTTACTGCTGAGCAGCAGCATAGCTGAAGTTGGTTTTGAGCTGCTGCAGAGCAGTGTTAAACAGTAATCCTCCATGAGATGATATCCCAAGAAATAGGATAGCTTTTGATGACTCATCTTTACATTTAAAGATTGAAAACTGAAATGGAGGAGTATTTTGGATGATTGTGTAAGAGAGCTTCCCTCTGTTAGCAGAGCAACCTCCAGCATTCCACCTGCAGTCTTTATTTTTCATTACTGCCAGAAGGCAGTGTGAGGACTCTGGGGGAAAGGTGTTGGTGCACATTTAAACTCTGATGATACCTAAAAGCTCAGCCAGTCTGTACTTCTTAGAGGTACTTTTCACAGGCATTGTGGCTGACGATCCTTGCCATTGGGAACCTGCAGGGTGAAATGCAGCAGTGAGTGTACAAAACAGGGTCTGGGTGGCAG